TTTTTGGTTCAAAAAAAATGGGTTTAAAAAAAAGGGTTTTCCCCTTAGTGGGAAAAAAGTTTTTTTTTTTTTTTTTTTTTTTTTTTTTTTGTCTTATTATTCTGATCTACCCTTGACAAATAAAATTATGTGATTCAGTTGTTTGCTGCTTGAACAATGCACCATCAGGATTTTTTTTTTAATAAGCTGGTACAGTTCTCTCAAACTGTTATGTAACATTTGTAAGAGTCAAGCAATTTATACCTTTTGAAAAAATATATATATATATATTTAATGTTTACAAATCCATGTTTGTTCCTGACTGAAACCGCATAAAACCCTTTTCACCTTCATCTTTTTTCTCCACAATGTGTATCATCCAGGTACCTCAGTGATGAAGGCATTGCAGAATTGAAAGGATCTGCAGAGAAAGTTACACCGAGTGACCTTATTCGCATTGCACTTGATGTGAGTTTTAATTTTCGAAGTTTTAAATTAGTATTTTTGCAATCCGACAGCTCTATTTTTTAGTTCCCAGGGAAATTGCAGATATTGTCTAATAGTTTTTTTTTTTTTTTTACTGCTTTGGGTACTAGAAGTTCCAAAGGTCTGACTTACATTTAGAAAAGTAATAAAAAAAAACAAAGCTGTGGGCACAATTTTAAATGCCATTTCAGTCCATATGGCATATGACTTCAATCTTAATGTCAATCTGGAACTTATTATTGGGGAAGAAAATTGCATTGGCTGTAGTTTCCCGGCATGTAGAGTAACACTTTCTCCTCCCCTCATTTCTCTTTCATCAACTTCTCAGTGTTCACCTTCCATTAGTAAGTGGAAGTGAGATTAGCAATGTATATATAGTTTTTTTTAATGACATGTCAGTAATCTTCTCATTTTCATGATGCGTGTCAGCCGGTATTATTTCTCATTTCTATGTGTATCTTCATAAAGCACGTTGTATTTAGATGGCTCATTTACTTAAAAGTTACTTGAATGCATTAGAAAAATCATTAACATGCTCAGACTGGGGAGCGTTCCCCTCTATGTATTCAGAAGGACAAAAAGGCAGTTCATCTTACCTGTAGTTTCAGATGAGCACAGACTGTTCGCCTCCACTGCGAACGCTCTGACCTTTACGGTTCAGCCTGGAGTGCTGCCAAAAGATCTAAAGCAGCACTTGCACACATCGCCGCACAGCAGGTCCACCCAGCCTTTTTTACTTTAAGATAGAGATAGTAGACTCATGAAACATGTTAAAGTTCAAAGAAACTTAGAATAAAGCTAATATTCTTAATATAAAAGAGTAAGGTTATTGTTGGTTTTTAAATAAAAGTACGATGGAGGGGAACAAAAATTGGGGAATTAGAAAGGATCGCGTTTGAAGTAAAGCCCTTGGTTTTTTTTATTTCTATATCAGGGGAATACTTTAAAATGATCACAAAGCCAGCAAAAACCTGGAGTTTTATTGGCCATATTAACACATTTGTTGACCCCAGAGATGAAAAGACAAAATGTGTTTTGCACCTAATACAACTTGAAAATGTATTTGCTTCTCATTTAACTCATTGGAGATTTGTCTTTAAATATAGACAAGCCTGATGAGAGATTTAGTGTGGTGTGACTGGTTAAATATTTGAAAATGTTATCAGTAATCTTCTCTAAACCATATTATTTGTGGCCACATTAATGCTTTGGTGTGCTGCTGTGCAACTAGATGGATGAAATCGGTGTGCTGTTGATAGATGTTCATCAAAATGTGAATAGTAATATTTTTCAGCAGTATCTCATAATGTCATTTTCATTTCTTGTCATTTATGACTGCTGTGATATGTGTTGTTTCTTTCTAATGATGTAGTGTGTTCTTTACAGAGTGATCTTAGGCCTATTGGGAAAAAGGTTCTTCCATCTGATATAAATGGTGGAAGAACTGAAAAGGTAAGCGATATTCATGTCTATAAAGTGGCTTTAAAAAGGTTTTGCGACCTTAGAAAACTCTTTTGTTTAAATTTCTTTTTGTCACAAATAAATGTTTCATGTTGTCAAACAAATGTCAGTATGGGACAAATGAAACAGGACTATAAGCAAATTGCATTTTTAAATGATGAGTTCACTTGTAATTGGAAAAAAGCCTATTCTCACCCTACGTGGAAAAACTAACCATCCCCATCGTTAAATTATCGATTAATCGTGATTCACCACAGTTTTTTGGAAGGTTGTGTTCAGTTTCACCACCACACCCAGGCCTGATTACTGTAGACCAATTAATCTTTTCAATAGAACCTGCCTGACAACACAAGGTTGGGTCAAAGATCTTTTTCAGACACG